ATAATGAACTTAGTCAACTTTAAAACTCACATTACCTGCTATAAGGATTAAAATTAAACTAATTTTTTCAAGAACTAAGTCCTTTATTTGCATATAGATGACATGCGCACATACTTGTAGGCAGAAAACATTAAAACTTTATAAGAATATATTTATAAATTTATTATATAAAAACAAACAAGTGTTTTTTGCATTTCTTTTCGTTAAATTTCAAGTAGTTCTTTTGAAAAAAGAACTACTTGAAATTTAACGAAATTTAAAACTTATTATACCATTATAAAAAAATTAAGTAATTTGAAAAAAGAAATTAAAAACTATTACCCTCCTTTAAATATATTTAAATTTTTAATCTTGAAAAAATGCTTCTCTATAAATTTATACTTTATAAAAAAAAGATAGCTAGACATTCTGCAAAAGTCAGAGAATTAAATAAATGTTGCAAAAGACAAGTAATTTTGATTGATTTCATTGGAAAATCAAATAATTTTTTATAAGAGTCAGGAAAATTGATAATAACATTTACATTAATTAACTGCACCCAAATTAAAACAGACAAATGCATTATTATATTAGCCATGGTTTTATCTAATTAATATAGTGATCCACACAGTCATATAAATAATAGGAAACATTTCATACACCAAATTCCTCTATTCACATGTATACGAACATTAGAAAACTGTCTAGATTACTTTGCCTCCAGATAATTATACTCTTATGTAAAAGCTATGATTTTTAATGTTACCCGATACCTTTAATATCGAGTCTTCTAGGTAGTGAATTGATAGTAGTAAATTAAAACTCAAGCTGGTACCCGATACCTTTAATATCGAGTCTTCTAGGTAGTGAATTGATAGTAGTAAATTAAAACTCAAGCTGGTTTAGAAGACTTTTTGGCAAATTAATAAACATGGTAAGCTAAAGATACAGTCAAATTATTTTACATAAAAAAAACATAATAGTTATTGAATAACAGTAGAAAGCAACAGAACACTCTGTCAGCAAGAATATAGCCACTAGGTTTAAGCTTCTGATAAAAGTTTATTTTGATACTAATCTGTCTGATACACAACCACTCCAGCCAGCAGATAATAAACCAATTGCTTTTTTTTTTATTATATACCAGTTACAAATTAAATGGTGTTAATATGTTTATAATTGAACCAAGTTTGCTATTGTAAAGTAAAAGTTTTTTCTTGCGATAAAAACTTCAGTACAATCAATAAAACAAAAAGTCTTTAAACTTTTTTTCAAAAAATTTTTGTAGGTTATTCTTTATTGTTCTACAATATGGTCAAAAATCAGATTAACAACCCTATCAGAAAATAGGTATTAATATTTTTAAGATATTATCTATTACAGGGTTACTGCAGAAAAGCAGTATCTTCATTTGATGGACTTTGTTTTAGCTTAATAAGTACAATATTAATATGGTCCTTTAACAACAATCGCAAGTAAACCAATTTTTAACTCTTTTGAAGAGGAATATTAACATTCTTTAAGATTAGCTTCAAAAAAAATTATTTTATTCTTTTGATGTTAGTGCAAAACTCAAAACTATTTACTATAAATAATAAAAAGGACTCAATCACTAAAGAATTTGCCGATAGTTTCGAAAAACGGTTAAATACCAAAGCAATGACGTATACCGCTTCGAATTTTCAAGTTCCACCTTGTACCAAATTTGATATGGTAATAATATCAGATGAAGATATTAAAACGGCTAAAATTAAACAAGACCAAAGATGCGTATGGAATCTCTGCAGAACATTTAAAACATGCACGTTACGAAGCCCTAAAAATGTGGCTAAGGAAATTCTTTAACTTTATTATTAACCACGGTCAGGCCCCAAAATCGATGTCTACATCACTTATTATACCTCTTGCTAAATCTTATAAAAAACATTAACTGATCCAAATAACTACCGTGGTATTAGCATCATTTTTTCAGTCGTTTTTTACATAAAGCTTCATAGGACACTTTTTTTTTCTCTTTTTTAGATCGAACTAAAAATTGGAGTCATATAATCAAGTGCATTAGCCTAATCCATTAGTTTTAATCCAGTTTCTACGTCTTCTACTTAAAATTTGATTTTTCAAAAGAAACTCTATAAACATTAAATCCACATCAGTTGTCACATCATTTTAAGTTGTTGTGTAGCTAATTACATGAGTAGCTAGCTACCCACCTTCTTGTTGAAATTGTTTAATTCTTGTTAAAAAATAAAACATTGAATTAATTTCCTAACAGAGCATACAAATATCACAATGTTTTTACAGGAGTATTTTCGAATATAATTTTTTTCTGCCTACAAGTATGCGCGCGTCATTTTTTGAAAACGAGAATGTAAACATTCGCAAGTCATCTATAATCTTGCATATAAATGCTTGCAGATTTTGAATCAAAATGTAAATTAATACCTGAGCCAGGGTCGCCGAGATTATGATTGGCGTCTTATTTATCATATACCTACATTTCATTTAGTGCCCCTTGAACATCTGCCACCCTACAAACTGTCCCGGTGCTCCCCCCCCCCTCTTGAAGGCCCTGACCTAAGTTCGAAATACTATTTTTTCGATTCGGTTTCGATGTCCAAAGATATTGTAGTTGAAAAATTATGTTAGAAAGTTTGTGTAATGTATAATATAAGTTTAATATATTAAATTTAATTATATAAATAACTTTAAAATGATTTTTAAAATTAGTTTTATAATTAATTTTAAAAAACGACTATTATAAACAGCAAATATTTCAGTAAGAAACTTTTTTAAGAATAATTATAATTTCTTTAGTCGAATGTATTTTTGGTTTGGAAAACGTTAATAGAAAGAAATAAAATTTTGTTAATGCGTTCCAAAAAAAATTACAATTATATCTTTTCGTTGCGAATGTATTTTTAGTTTGGAAAACGTTAATAGAAATAAATAAAATTTTGTTATTGCGTTCCAAAAGAAAATGACAATTATATCTTTTCGTTGCGACGGAAATATTTAACTGTTCTTGTCTAAATTTGTTTCTTTTTTTTTACTAAAAAAAACTTTTCAAAATAATAACGAAACTCATCATTTTGCAGAAAAAAAGAAAATTAATTCAAAGAAAAGATCGGCTATGTATTATTTATTTAACGAACATTTTTTTAAGTTTTTTATTTAATTGTATTAGATAACATACCGATCGTTTTTTTAGAAGTAAGTATAAAACCTTAAAAGTGTGGGAAAGACGCACGTCTAAATTACGATTGAACGCTCATGATAATAATTTAGGGATGCGTAATGATGCAGGCCCGAAGGAACAAAAATCATATTGGGGGAAGGGGGGCACTACTGGATTAAGGGGCTCCGAAATAGTTTTAAGCATCTTTTTTTCTTTTTTTAGTCATTTTTTCAGTCAGTTTTTTCAGTTGTTTATTTATAAAATTATATGGGGGAGGCAATGCCCCTGCTGCCCCCTTCTCCCCCGGTTGCTACGGGCCTATGATGTGCACGTGGGATTGCACGAAATTTCTGAACACATACGGATTACAAATAGAGAGCTTACCTGATTTTGCAATAGCTTCAATTTGGGTTGAAAAATCGTTCATTGAAATGAAAACAATGCTGAGATAAATTAAATCACACTATCTGCTATAAGGAGAAAATTAAACTAATTTTTTAAGAACTAAGTCTTTCTTTATTTGCATATAATCTTGCATATAAATGCTTGCATATTTTGAATCAAAAAATATCTGAGTTCGAAATACTGTTCGGTCAATTTGGTTTCAATGTCCAAAGATAATTTATTGCAATTGAAAAATTTTATTTAAAAATTTGTGTGAGTTATATATTTATAAATATATCAAGTTTAACAAGCAAAAAGTTTTAAAATTTTCAAAATAAAAACAATTATAATCTATCAATTAGTTCCCTTAAATTCAACTGAATAATAACTAATCCAAAATAACATAATAACATTGTTAAAAAGTCGAATAAAAATTGAGAATAAAAATGATAAACTAAAGGCACACCGCCAGTTTCTAAAATTATTAGCAACCTGTTTAGGTACAATTTCAAAACAATAATTTACAAGTAGGATTAAAACGATTCATTACCAAACATCTTTAAAAATCAATCTTTTATAATTCTAAAAATCAAAAAATAATAACAATAATAATAATTGTAATAATAATAGCAATAACAACAATAACAACAATAACAACAATAATAATAATAATAACAATAATAATAAATAAAGATTCGTATACAATTTACAAATAACCAAAGCTTTATTTTTAAATTACAAATTATATACTTATATATTATTTACAATTATAATAAACAGATTTTTAGAGATTATTATAGTGCATTATTGTTATGGAAGTTTATTTTTATTTGCAATAACTACTACACATTATGTTTATTTTTTAAAAGTAACAGTTATTTGTTTTCCGGTTCTTCTACTGTTTGAATAGGATAAATGCACAATATATGTCAACATTGAAATTTTAAGAATTTAGTTTAAAAGCTTTGTTAACCACATTGTGTCTCTTGGCTCTGATTTTATGAAACATTTTGTTTTCTTGTTATTTGCTTTTTTAACTTTAGGCGTTGCATCCAGTTATATTTAAGTTGTAAATATTATTTCAATTTCAGTTTTTATTAAGTTTTTGTAGCATTGATTTAATTTCAAATTTTGATTTTAATTATAAAACAATACCTATTTCAGTTTCGAATCAGTTGTTTTGAAATTTCAGTTTACTTTTTATGATTTCAATAATTGCTATTTCAATTTCTAATTCAGTTAACATTTTACTTCAATTTTATTTTTATCATTTTACTTTAGGAATTTTTGACAGGAACTTATAAAGTACCATTATAAAAGTTTTAAGAAATTTTTAAGAATTTTTTCTTCATTATTGCTGTCTTGTACTACCACGTATTCTACCAGTCAACAACCTTCATAAACTCATTATTATGTTGTTATTCTATTGTTTAAAATCTAGATACTAAAAATAAAAGATACTATGATTATTTTTAGTTAAGGATTAAACTTAATGTTACCGGAACAATGGTCAGACAAAAAGAAATTCAAAAAACAATGAAAAAGCTAGAAAGCACGTGATCAGCATAGTGGTCAGATATGATATGAGCGCCAATAATGTTTTATTGGTCATATTTTAGTTGTCGGAGCTGAAGGAATATTTTTAGGTTTGTTTTATTCAATTTATTTAGACCAAGTCTGTTTATCTGATATGCAAGTTGCACTCGGTAGCATAAAGGAAGAACAATAAGATTTTATTTTAAAAAAAGTTTGTTATGTTTCATAAAAGTCAAACAGATTGTAGAATAAAACTTTGAGTGGGAGATTTAAGTATGCTTTAAAATTTATTTTTATTTTATATTTTAAATTATATAATTCTGGTTCAGGGTTATTTTTAGTTACTTTCTTATATGTTTCATCTTTGTATTTCTTTTTTGTTATATTAATCATTTATAGTTTAAAAGATTTCGGTTAAAAATTGGCTGTTAAAAAGCTTTATTTTTTATTTTAGACATTTTATTTGCATGGCTGAATTGAAGGTTTTATTTGCAAATTAAAGACATTTTATTTGCTTGGCTTAATTGTATGGCTGAAACGAAGAATTGCAATGCAATTCTTTGTTTTATATTTAATTTAGTTCAAATTTTTTGATGTGATTCTTCGTTTTATATTTAATTTCATTTATGCGATTTGTGGAGCTCTTAGTTTGTTTTTTTATCTAATTTTATTTATGTGGTTTGGTAGAAATATTCGTTTTATATTAAGTTTAAATTTCCAAGATGATTTGTGATAAGCACAATAAAAACCACCACCACAACAACAAAAACTGCATTAATCACATTTTCTTGGAGCAATGTTTTGACAATTTGTCCTAAAAGTTGCATGAAAAGATAATACTTTTTTTTGTTTAAAATCAATTAGGCACATATCTTTGTTTTAACAGTTCAATCCTTGTGTTCTTTGTAAAATTTAATGCAATCACAAATACTTTTTTAACAAAGGTGTGACTTTAATGGTGCACAAAACGATCGAAGAATTATGCCCTTGGCAAAGCGAGCCTTGCAAGCACTAACATTCATATAGTCAGGAGTCAGTTAAGAAAAAGTTTGAAATTGTAAAATCTATATGTTCTTCACAACCAAACGGTGTATCATGTAACCAGATTTTGGTGTGGTAATTGGTTGATTGATGCTTCTGTTGACTTACAGGGTTTTACAAAGTTATAAGTGCACGTTTGCAAGTTATAAGTGCACGTTTGCAAAGTTATAAGTGCATTTATAAAGTTAATTTTAACTCTTATATTTTAAATATCAATGGAAAGAAAAGTATGGAAAACAATTACAGAAGAAACTAAAAATACGATTATTTCAATGAGAAATTGTGAAAAATATTCAATCAAGGAAATATCCAACGCTTGTAATTTAACTCGAAATGCTGTTAGTCGTGTTATAAAAAATAGTGATAATAATATACCCTTCACGTCATCTACAGCAAAAAGAAAAGAAACGTATAAAATCAAAAGTGCTATAAATACAAACATTGAACAGACAATATTTAATTCCGTGGTCTGTAACAATGCCGTAATTCAAAAAGAAATTCAAACGCAAATTTTAGAACAACGTGGTAAAAACGTTTCAATCTCGTTTGTTTCCCGTAAATTAAAGAAATTAGATTTGACACGAAAAAGATTAGCAATCATTCCTCAAGAAAGAAACACCATGGAAAGAATAAATCAGAGATCAATTTTTGCGGCAGAAGTTGCTAGAATTAATGATTCAAATTTGGTTTTTTTAGACAAAACCGGATTCAATAAACATACAGTGCGCTCATATGGCTATTCTCCAAAAGATACAAAAGCGTACTTGACAGTTCCTGCAAATAAAGAACAAAATGTTAGCCTCATGTGCTTAATTTCCAATTTAGGAGTTGAATGTTACCAATACAAAAGCGGCGCATACAATACACAATCATTTATTGATTTCATCAACAACAAACTAGTACCATTCATTGCAGTAAATCCAAATAAAATTCTTATCCTAGATAATGCAAAATTTCATAAAGCAGCTGCAGTACTTCAATTACTAAGAGAAAAAAATATTACTCCCTAGTTTTTAGTACCATACTCCCCTGAATTGAACCCAATCAAAGGGTTCTTTTCAATGTTAAAAATCCAATTTCAAATTCACGAGAAATGCTAATCCCGATATGACTGTTGAAGAAACTCTAGAATATATTTTATCACCTGATAATAATTATAGTCAACAGTGCAATGCCTTTTATATAAATATGAGAAAATGGTTGGAAAAGGCAATAAGAAGAGAAGAATTTATCTAATTAAAATATTTAAAATGATTTGTTTATTTTTTTTAATAATGTATATTTTTGCATGCCTTTTTAAAATATTATGATTAAATAATGTATACTATTTTTTAAAAATTATGAAAGTATTTAATCTAGAAAAGTTATTGATATATAACAATATGCTAAATTAAGTAAAAATGTAAAGAATTTTCACTAACTAATCATTTTTTAGAAAAAAAACAACAACAAAAAAAAAACACTTACTGATTGCTATGCTGTAATTTAATTTAATATTTTGTGCAATATTATTAAACCTAAAAAAATACTTTCCGAAAAAATGTATATGCACTTAAAACTTTGCAAGCGCGCACTTATAACTTTGCAACCGTGCACTTATAACTTTGCAAACATGCACTTACAACTTTGCAAAACCCTGTAATGTGGTAAACGATATCATGAACAGTTGTCTGGTAAATGCTAACGTGCAGTAATCGTTCGTTCAGACTTGCTGTCTTTCAATATAAATTGTACTTGTGCAAGTTTAGGAAGGAAGTTTGTAAGCCATACTCTAAGATAATATTGATTGAATTACTCTCGAGTCCCAAATAAAACGGGAGAGGGGGGAAGAATGTTTATTAATTTTCGGAAAATTTTCCCACCCACCCTAAGCTTATTATAACCCCTCATCCCTCCCCCCCTCCTTTATTAATTTTTACTTATCAAAAAAAAAAAAAAAAAAAAAAATTAGTGAAAATCAGCCTTACAAATTATAGAATAATTATTTCAGTCACTGATAAAAAAAAAAAATTTTCAGTGTAAACAGGCTTTGAAAATCACTAAGTAAATTTTGAGTTATCGATAATGAGCTTTTAATTTACTTCTGACCAAAGTATAAAACTTTTATCAACATATAAATACCATTGCAATAATTTTAAAGCAGTTGTTTTTTTTAAAAATGCGCATTTGACCGCAAGCCACACTAGATTTAAATAGTTTTATGCGTGTTTTGTATAAAATATATTAGTTTGGATTTAAAAACTGAAATTTTAAAAAAAAAAAACATAAAAATTTTAGTCCAGATCTAATAAAGCTCCGTTTATTAGATCTGGACTAAAATACGTACGTGACTTTAATGTGCATAGAGCAATTTCAAATTTCTCGATAACTACGCAACCAGACACAAAACGTGTGATTGTGGTGTGTTACCGATGACCATATTTTGCATTTATAATTAAATATCTTTAATAATTATGAGTGGTAGGATCTTTTAACTACGACTGTAAAATGAATAAAAACGTCAAAACGCGCTATTTCTTAAAATACGTACCCCGTTCATACTGACAATAAAACATGTTTATTTTTAAATAATAAATATTATTAAGTTGCTATTGTAAAAAGATCTCTTAAACATCGATGACACAACAACTCGAGGTTGTTTTGTTTATATAATAAGTTTGTGTTCAGGACTGATGAAGCAGAGGAGGGGGGCACAATCGTCAATTTCTAAAGAAAGTCCATTATATCTTAAAATTTCTACCACGTTAAAAAGGTGAATGATTTTCTAGGCGATTATTATATCTTAAAAGGTTATAAATCTTTTATTTTAAACTGAACTAATAAAACTTTTTAATGAGTAATTGGATCTCAAAGTAAAGTATATATGCGTTTTTTGTTGAGAGCTGGAGTTCTAAGCGAAGTATATATGCTTTTTTGTTGAGAGCTGGAGTTCTAAGTGAAGCATATATACGTTTTTTGTTGAGAGCTGGAGTTCAAAGTGAAGTATATATGCGTTTTTTGTTGAGAGCTGGAGTTCTAAGTGAAGTATATATGCTTTTTTGTTGAGAGCTGGAGTTCTAAGTGAAGCATATATACGTTTTTTGTTGAAAGCTGGAGCTCAAAATAAAGTATATATGCGTTTTTTGTTGAGAGCTGGAGTTCTAAGTGAAGTATATATGCTTTTTTGTTGAGAGCTGGAGTTCTAAGTGAAGCATATATACGTTTTTTTGTTGAGAGCTGGAGTTCTAAGTGAAGCATATATACGTTTTTTGTTGAGAGCTGGAGATCAAAGTGAAGTATATATGCGTTTTTTGTTGAGAGCTGGAGTACTAAGTGAAGTATATATGCTTTTTTGTTGAGAGCTGGAGTTCTAAGTGAAGCATATATACGTTTTTTGTTGAGAGCTGGAATTCAAAATGAAGTATTTATACATTTTGTGTTGAGATAAAGTGTATTGGGATGATATAAATGTTGAAAGTAAGAAAAAACTACAATTGTTGTTGTCTAAAACAAATATGATAAATTAACTTTTCAGCATCGTTTCATTTACTAAATATTTTCTTATAAATGATAATAAAATTATACTTTTTTGAAAGAAACTGTATAAATAATTTGCAAACATTGACTATATATATAAAAAAAAGTAAATTTATAAACCTATAAAAGTAAAAATATATATAAACATTTTAAATAGAAAAACAGACAGATTGCCATGTCGTGCAAGGTAAAGTTGATAATTTTCCTTTCGAAATCATTTCTTCCACACCAAACTTTCTTTCTTCGCATAACTTAGTAATTATTTTGTCATTTAAACTTTCACCAGAGCTTGTTTGCTTATTATTAATGCATATACCTGTATGCTTAGCTAAAAAATGACACGTTTTATAAACATTTACATCAATAACTGGAGAAAAACTTGAATAATATGAAGATTGCTGAGAAATACTATCTAAAGAATTTAGGTTTTGTTTGGTAACTACACAGTCATTTGGTTCATGAAATTTTATTTTACAGATGCCCGGATCAAGCTGCGGTTCATCTAGCAGTGTCTCTCTTGAAACAACATCATTAATATTTGGAATACAGTCTTTTGTTTTCAAAGAACTACAAGTATGTTCTTTACTTATATTTGAATCGTCCAGAATGGAAACAACTTTGTTCTTAAAATCATCAAAAATAAAAGTTTCTTCAAAGTTTTTAAACAAGTTCTCACTTGAAAAAGTTTTATTTTCACAATGACTAATGAATGAATCTTCAAGTATTTTTCCTTTCAATTCTTTTATTGGTAAATTATCAATCTCATGTTCAACGTAAAACGGCTGCATACAAATAGGTTCATCTAATGGATCATGTAAATCAGCAAAAAATGGATGGCATAAAGCTTGTTCAGCTGATATTCGACGATCTGGATCGATACAGATCATTTTACTTAACAAATCAATGGCTATGAAATAAATATATTTATGATTACTTAAATATTATCAAAAAAATTGCATTAAACATCAAGTTAAAAAAGTTTAAAACATAAACATATTTGTTTAAACATTTAATTAATTTATTATTATGTATACATCATCATTATTATTTATTTAATAACTGTGACCAAAAAGATACGGAGCCAAACTAAGCTAGAATTTAACAACTGATTTAAGTAAAAAATATATATTTTGATTCCACAATTATTTTATCTAAATTATTCCGATTGCTTATTACACTACTTTTATACTATTACCATGCATCAATACTGTAACATATATACCATATATATATATATATATATATATATATATATATATATATATATATATATATATATATATATATATATATATATATATATATATATATATATATATATATATATATATATATATATAATATATATATATATATATATATATATATATATATATATATATATATATATATATATATATATATATATATATATATATATATATATATATATATATATATATATATATATATATATATATATATATATCAGGGGCGGATACAGGATTTTTTGAAGTTTGAAATAACTAACTTCCAGACATGGAAAGAACTCGAAACTTTTATATGTTTATAGTTATATCAAATATGGATACTTTGCAAAAAATTGAGATGATAGGAGCCTGGGAACAAAAAAGCCCCAAAATTTTTGCTACACCTGCCCTACACGTGAGAGCAACAAGTTGATAAAATAAGTTTTTTACTTTTCTCAACTAAATCTATATTCATCGAGAAATTTTTAATTTTGTAAAACAATCTTTTAGCGTTCAATAATAATGGTCTTATAAAATTTGTAACCCCCTCAAATTGAGGGGGATTCAAACTTTATGTGGCTATAACTTTTGAACGTTAAGAGATTATTGTATGAATTTTAAAATTTCTCGATGAATATAGATTTAGTTAAGAATAGTAAAAAAATGATTTTATCAATTTGTTGCTCTCACGTTTGGGGCAGGTGTAGCAAAAATTTTGGGGCTTTTTTGTTCCCAGGCTCCTATCATCTCAATTTTATGCAAAGTAGCTTTATTTGATATAACTATAAACATATAAAAGTTTTGAGTTCGCTCCATGTGTGGAAGTTAGTTATCTCAAACTTCAAAAAATCCTCCATCCGCCCCTGTATATCTTATTAATAATTAATTTTAACTATTTAGATGTTTTCTGAACATTTTTTATTTTACAAGAAAAAAAAAAAAAAAAAGACTTCTAAAGGAATGGTACCAGAATTTCTATATTTTTAACTTAATTATGATTTTATAATACATAGAGTAAACTTTTTGTTTATTATGCTTTTGTTAGTGCATTAAATACTTATTTGATTATATTTAAGCATGTTTCAAATCTAAAATTAGAAATTTTAATTTTTCAAAAAATAATTAAAAACAATAGAAGAATTTTCAATAGTGCTAAAACTATCACTATAACAACTATCTAAATAAAACCTCAGGCAAAATAATTATGTCAAGCGAATATAAATTCTATGGAATTAAGATTTGACTATTTACTCTTAAGCTATATAGAATTTCTATTTACTTCAGTAAGCTTGAAAAAATACTTCAAAAACTAATTACTTAAGGAAGCGTCCATAATTTATAATAGAGATTTATTTAAGGAGGTGAGTTAATACATAAATGTATACATAGATACATACATACATAGATACATATGTAAATACATGCATGCATACATACATACATACAAAAGTTACTTTTTTTTATTTTATCTTAAAAAAATTTATACAATAAAACCTAAAATAATAATCTATATATAAAATGATTATTAGTTTTTATATATTTTTGCTTCTTTCAAAACTAATTATACTATATATATATATATATATATATATATATATATATATATATATATATATATATATATATATATATATATATATATATATATATATATATATATATATATATATATATATATATATATATATATATATATATATATATATATATATATATATATATATATATATATATATATTTGTGTGTGTGTGAAGAAAAAAATTTCTATGGATGAAATTTCGTTGAAGTTAATTTTAAAATAAATATTAAAAAAAGCTATTTTATTTCTGTCTCAATGAAAACCACATCCAGCTGCAAGGTGCAATAAAAATCCGATATAAATTACAAAGTATGAGTCAATGTTAGTTTCCTAAGCAACCGGGAAAACACAACAATGTTATTTGAATGAATATTACTAAATTTTAATAAAATGTTTTCTTATGGTATGAATGAGTATTTAAGTTTTTGTAATACTTATAAAATATTCATAAAATGTTGAAAAAAAAAAAAAAATAGAAGTATAAATCCAAGTATATATATATATATATATATATATATATATATATATATATATATATATATATATATATATATATATATATATATATATATAATAATAATAATAATAATAATAATAATAATAATAATAATAATAATAATAATAATAATAATAATAACAATAATAATAATAGTAATAATAATAATGATAATAATAATAATAATCTACTAATTATATGTTTTTAAACGTTAAATGCTATTTAAAAAAAAAAGAAAAAAGACTCGCTAAATCCTTATTAAGAAAATTCTCAAGGTTTGTGGTTATTATTTAAAAAGTTATAAAAAATAAACTACTTTTATCTTTACTAATCCTTTATATTATGATCCCTTGTGTTTACTTTTAGTGTTTTAAGTCAAAAGACAAAATCCTTAAAATAATTAAAACAAAGATTAAGCGGTGTATTTTAATTTCTATTTGTTCAAGACAAATAAAAAGTCAAGTGAAAATTTAGATTTATAAAACTTACCATCAGATGAAATTCCTCTAAAAAGATGCTCTGGAAACATAGAAACATGATCGAAAATATTCTCTACTTTTAATCCAAACACTCGACAGATACAGTCTATTTGATCTAGGTCATTTTCTCCAGGAAACAATACCTTTCCTAGTAACATTTCTCCGAACACGCAGCCAGCACTCCAAATGTCTATTGGATAAGAGTAATCCCCTGTTTTAAGAATAACTTCAGGGGCGCGATAATATCTTGTTGAAACTAGAGCAGTAAGATACCCCTTATGAGTATACCTGTAGTCAAAAACTCGCGCTAAACCATAGTCGCCAACTTTCAGAGTTAAATCATCCGTTTTAACAAATAAGTTTCCTGGTTTGATATCCCTATGAACAACGTTTGCAGAGTGAATATATTTTAAACCACGCAATAATTGATACAAAAATATTTTACATGTTTCAAGCGATAGTTTTCCATTTCTTTCAATAATTCTTTGCAAGTCGGAGTCTAAAAGCTCTTCAACTACATAAACATTGTCTATTCCATTAAAAGATTCCGTGTTAGGATCAATAGTGTTTCCACTTGAGTCAATTATTTTCATAGTTTTTATTATATTCTCGTGAGACAATCGTTTTAAAACACGCAGTTCTCTTAAAGCAACACGACAATGACCTTTTCCTACAAGTGGTAGTCTTTTGAGGGCCACTGCCGCATTAACATTATTAGTTCCATTAAGCAATGAATTGTCTACTCCTGATAAAACAAAACTATTTCCATTTCCTGAAATTACTTTTAGACTTGAAAAATTTAAACTTAAATCGCACAAAAAACTTGTACTCTTACAATTTGAAGGCATTTTTGAATAAATTATCGCAACCGTAAATTTATATCCTTTAATAGTGTACTTTCGACCCGTCTGAAGTTTTTTTACTTTTACTGCAATCTATAAATAAATTTCGTTTAAAATAGTTATCATTTTTCCTTGTAAATTTGTTTGAACTGATTGGCTAATAATCTTCGACTTTTAAGCGAGAATTTTTCGGCTTATTTTATTGGTTGAAATTTATCCAATGCATTATTTAACAAGAACTTATCGTAAAGTTACAAAACTTTGAAGTATTTCGTAACTTTTAAGTTAAGAATGATAAAAAGGGCGCTGTACAAACTTCTTTGTTTATAAATAAAGTAAATATCTAATAACATGATATTAAAAAAAAAAAATTTAATGTAAATTTTTTTCAAAAATAATTATATAATTTATTATTCAATATTTATTGTCAAATTAAAAAAATATGGTTTTTTTCTAAAAACTAAAAAAATTATTAAAATCCCCCTTTAATGCGCACGTTTACAGAACATGTATCGCGTCAGGAATTTATTTATTTGTTTCATTTAAGTAAAAATGAATTTCAGTTATGCGCGAAATGCGCTCTTTTTTAAAAGTTTTCCTGTTTCTTACTAATTTGTGTCTAAAAAATAAAGTTTGTGCTCTGTTTTTTTTTTAAATGTAAAATTGTAAAAACTTTGAGTTTAGTTAACTTTATTTAGGACGAATAACGTCATCAGCTTTAAAAAAGAAAAAAATGCGGTCGTATTTTTATGAATTTTGCTTGATATTTTTTGTAATTTTTATTTTGTTTATTAAATTTAATCATGAAATATATTAAAAATCAACGTCAGCAATAAAACTAATTGCGACAGCATTTTTATTTATTTTAAGTTTTAATGAAAGCAGTTATTTTTTTGTAAATCTCTACCTAAATTAACTTTTTCTTACTTATATCTAAAGTATGTATTTTTTAAAGAATTTAAAAAACAAATAAATATAATTTTTTCAAAATTTTAAATTCATTTTATTATACACTCAGGGCCGTCCCAAAGGTCTTCCATGAAGGGGGGGGGGGGGGAGGTGTATGAATTTTTTGCTTACTAAAAACACAAAAATAAAACACACAAAAAAAAAAGGTCCTCAATATTTGCAATTTGTCAACTCTAGTTCAAAGCTTGCTCAATGTGCCAACTCAAATGTATAAATTACAGATTTGGGGGTGGGATCCCCCCCTCCCCCCACTTTAAAGCATAATATAATATTTTAAAAAAAACTGTGAATTTTTATTATTTGATCTTTAATAAAGTTTCTCTGATTTGTAATAAATTTCTAATTTCTGATTGTCTTATGTATGTTGGAGTCGAACGTCTTTCGGTTTTTATAATTATCTTTACGTAATATTCGAAAAATCTTTTAGGAAATTTAAAAGAAGACTTATTATCAAGAACACACTTGTCACAGAGCGCCGTCATTGGAATAGCATTGAATGAGCAAGTTTCTAATTGACGTACTCAGTGGACAACAGTTTACTAGTCTAGAGCAAGATTTGAACGCTGACACAATTCTCACTTATTTTTATATTTTATTTTTCTTAATGCTAAACAAATTATCAAACGCTTGAAATTTTCGATTCGAACTTTCTTTTAAACAAGAACTTAACTGATTATTAGCAAATGTTTAGTTTTGGCAATTATAAACAATTGACTTTTATTCATCAAAAGCATTGGTGTTCTTAAATCCAAGATGTCAAAAGTATTAAATCAACGCAATGTTTTTTGTTTTTTTTTAATATTTAATATAAAATAGTCGTTTGCACGTTTTAAAAGCGATTCATTAAATAATTGAGTTAAAATGATAGTTATTTATCGCTTTGATTTGAAAAAATGACTCGTCTAGTTTAATAATGAGTCATTGAAAGATAAATAATTCATTTTTAGTACGGAGAAGCATTAAAATGAAAAGAACAACGATTTGTTATAAATAAAAGGACAACGATTTATTTAACTTGATTATATTATAAGTTTTTATAATTTTGTTACTTAAACTAAAATTAAAAGTACATATAAAATAATTAAAAATAAAAAAAAGCCAAAATATATAATTATGAATTTAATTAATTAATTTAATCTAATTATATATCAAGATTCTATATATAGTGTTTATGTTTTTATCTTACTCAAAGTTACTCGATGCGTTTTTTGAGGATATTATTTTTTTGCTGGATTAAATTTAATGCGGTTTTGAGGAAAAATCTCGCCATGATTTGATCTCCATTGATTGCAACAGTTCCAATATGAATACTTTATAATTTTCTGCAGATACTGGAACAGATGAAAACAATTTGCTTTTTCCCAACTACTTTAGTAAAACTTCGGGCTTTTTGTTTTTTTCAAGATAGTCAGACCAAATCTGTTAATCTGATATGCGATCTGGGCGCGGTAGATTAAGGAAAGAATTTATTTTATGAAAAGTTATATAAGATTTTATTTAAAAAATAGATTCTATTAAAATTAGATTATAAAAAAATAATATAAGAATATAAAAGATTACAAGTTATAATTTCGTTATAAAGATTTTAAGATATAAATTATATAAACATATTAAAAAGATTATAAAAAGGTTAAACAAGATTTTATTAAAAAAAAAAAGCTTGTAATTTTTCATCAAAGTCTGGACTGATTGTCCAGATAGGAAGAAAACAATGAGTGGAAGATTTAAGAATGTTTTAAAACTTATTTTTCTTAAGTGTTTTTAGTTTATATTTTAGAGTATATAATTCTGGTTCAAGGTTATTGTTAGTTACTTTCTAAAATGTTGAATGTTTGTAATTTCCTTTCATGTTACAGATAACAACAAATAAAAGCATTATACCCAACAATTAAGTTAGTATAACTCATATTATAATAAAAAAGATTATAAAAAGAGTGTAGAGTATAAAAATATAGATTAGTGTTATATATTTAGGGGCTCTATGAAAAGATTGCGATGATGTATTGTCATCTTCATCTTCTTTAAGCCTCTGTCTGTTTAACTCTTTATTTTATAAAGATCATTGTAAAAGTTTATATTCTATACTGTATATACAAAAACGGTGCTTGTTGACAAGATTCAATTGTCTTCTTTGTTCTACGAGCATATTTTTTCTTTCTTATATATATATTTGTTTGATTATTTATTGCATTTTTTGTAAATGCAATGCATTTTAGTGAAGCTGCACCGAGCAGTGAACGCCTTAAGGTTAAATAATAAGTTAAGAAGAGTTTAGCCGAGTGAGATAAAAGTACAGCTTTCATCTGAGACTGGTATCCCAAAAGAAGTTCCACTCTGGATCTACACCAGGGTATCTTTTTAAAGTATAAAAATAAATGTAAAATAAATGTAAAAAAAAAAAGAAAAAAAAAGCGTTGAAAAATTCGTGAATAAATCCATTGTCATCGGTAACTTATCATGATGACTAGTCATTTTATCACATATTGAAAATTTATCGGCTGACGACTTATAGCAGATGCTCCTAAGTAACCCGTGAGTAAAATTTCAATGACTCGCTCTAAAATGTTATTGGTATAGGTCTAATGCAAACTCCCCACAAGAATATTTGCTGTGTTTTTAAATTTTTAACTTTTAAAATACATAATTTATAAAAATTTCATTTTAGATGGATTTGTAGTGCTTAGTGCATGTTGTATTGATATGCATCAATGCAACATGCACCAAGTGCATATTGTATAGTGTATAATTGTATATTGCTTGTTGCACTGCTACCTGATACATACGAAACCATCGAGATATCTTAAAACTGCCTAAAATAGCTAAAACTTGCTGGTTTTGTGAGACTTCTTCTCGTTCATCCCTTGTTTTGTTTTCTATTAAAACAAAAACAAGCGGTAGTTTAACAGTTTACAGAACAACGTTTCACAGAATAACGTTTAACAGTTCACCGAACAACGTTTAACAGTTCACAGAACAACGTTTAACAGTTCACCAAATAATGTTTAACAGTTCACAGAACAACGTTTAACAGTTCACAGAACGATGTTTAACATCTCACGGAACAACGTTTTAAAACTTCTCCAACTGTAAATAATGTTTGAAGTTATCCGAATGAATAGGGTCACTACAACCATTTTTGCCAATTTTTGTCAAACAAACAGCCATGATTAGCAAACAATGCTTATATATAATTATATATACTTGGAGGAGTAAAATCATACAAAATTGAAATTTCGGTTTTTGGTGTTCAACTAAAGTTTTGTTTCTTACCGAATTTATTAAAAGTACCGAAACAAAAATTTCGTTATTGGTTCAAAAGCCAAAATCGAAACCGAATTTCAGTCAATCACTAGTAATGGGGATTACAAAGAAAATGAGTAGGATGCAACAGGGCTGGTTTTGTGTGATCCTTAGAAACATTTTTAAAGTTACTCATTTGATTATCATATTTTATTGATGCTTTAATAGTTTTTTGAGAGTTGTACATAAAGTATTATATTGTACCGATGCTAAAGTTTGCCGTTACTAACTTTATTTTAGCTAATTATATTTAATAGTATAAGAAACATTTTAAACATTTAATTTATTACAACGGTTTGGTTATAACGGGCTATAACTATAAAACAGTAATGACTTTAAAGGCAAAGTTATGTAACATACTTTATATCAATCACGGTTACAATCTTACTTAGTTTGTAGCATTTTTTTTTTTCTACAAAACTTGTTTTATTTTAAATTATAACAATTTATTCTTATAGAGAAAAATGAAAGAAAAACAAGTAGCCCGTTGAAAACGTTTGTACAACGTCTATTTGAAAATTCTGAAGGGGAAAAGTTTACAGTTGATTACTTTTATGCTGAATTCCAATTAACACCATTTATACCATTATTCGATGCGCTGAAAATAATTCGGGACACCAGAGAGTCTCTGGAATTGATAGGATTGCTAAAATAATGACAAAAAGGAACGTCGAAAGAATTTAAACAATGTTTGACCACAAAGAAGGCATATTGCAAACACAAGCAGCTCGGAAGTTTAAGTGCACCCAAGTATATATCAGCAAAACATTAAAAAAAATTCCTTAATCAGGCCAAAGAAGAAGAAGATTCCATTAAGATGTTGTAAATAAATAGAGGTAGTTTCAACAATGTACGGTCAGCAGTATCA